CACTAACCTCCTCTCCCAAAGGTCCCTCCAACAATCCATGATCACCACTGTCACCCCAGGAGGTGCTAACCATTGTGACCTTTTCCAAACCTCCACAGGTCGCTTCCTCGCCCGCATTCCCTACTGTCACCGCTCCCGTCTATACACCCTTCGGGTTCCTCGCCCCTTCACCTTCCAAGTTGCCTCCCCCCCCCTCCTCCCCCCCCCCTCCTCCCCTCCCTCCCACTAACCCACCCGTCCCCCCCCCGCCCCCCTGACTCTGACTGCTCATGTCGCTCCCTCTCCCACCCTGCTATCCTCCTCCATCACAGGCTAGGTCACCCCAACTTCGCCACTCTGCGCTCCTCTGTATCCTCCGGTCTTCTCCACGGTCTCCCCTCCTCCCTCCCTCCCCTCCCAAAGTCCCCTGCCCCCCCTTGCGTCGTCTGTGTTCAGAGCAAGCTCAAGCAGCAGCCGCACCGGAGCTCCCCCTCCGCTGCAGCCCAGCCACTTGATCTTGTTCACATGGACCTCTGGGGCCCTAACCCCTCCCCCACTCGCCAAGGCCATCGCTACCTCCTCGTGCTCGTCGATGATCACAGTCGGTACTCGTCCGTCTCTCTCCTTCAGACGAAGGCGGACGCCCCGACTGCGATCATTGCCTGGCTCGAACAGGCAAACACCCACTTTGGGCGCCCTGTTCGCCGCCTCCACTCTGATGGTGGTGGTGAGTTCCTTAACAACCAGATCTCCTCCTATTGCCAGTCCCGCGGCATTCTTCAGACTTACACCCTCCCTCACTCCCCACAGCAGAACGGTGTCGCTGAGAGCCGTGTTCGGGAGATCACCAAAACGGCTCGGTGTCTCCTTGTCCACGCCTCCTGCCCCCCTTCTCTGTGGGGCTACGCCCTCCTTCATGCCGCCCTCCTTACTAACCTTTACCCTCACCCCCTCCTCCCCTAAACCACCCCCACTGAGCTATGGACAAAGGACAAACCCGATGTCTCCCCTCTTCGGGTCTGGGGCTCAAAGGCATATGTCCTCATTCACCCATCTGACCGATCCCGTTCCCTAGGAAAACTTGCCCCTCGTACCCTTCCCTGCATCTTCCTTGGTCATAACCCCTCTTCCCCCGACTATCTTTTCTTCCACCCCCCCTCCGGTCGACTAATTCGCAGCAAGGATGTCGTCTTTGACGAATCCACCCCATACTATTCCTCTCCTCCGTCCACTGACCCACTCCCACCTCTGACTCGTCCCCTTGTCTGGTCTGACACCACCCCTCCCCCTCTCCTCCCTCCTCCCCCCATCCTCCCACCCCCTCCCCCACCGCCCCCCCAGTCCTACGGTGCCCCTCCCTCGTCTGGTGACATCTTTGACCCGGACCCCCTGTCTTCCCCTGTCTCCCCCGCTCACTCCTCCCCTGGTGCCCCTCCTCCCCCTCCCTCCCAACCCTCGCCTCCCTCCCCCCCTCCCCGCACCACACTCACCCGGTATCCTCACACCAGGTCATGCGACGGTATTCTTGGTGCACCGCCCCTTGTTACCCTCTCTACCTCTACCCTCCCCCCTCTTTCCCCCCTTCTTCACCACTTCTTCCAGGCTGTCCTGCATCAAGCCCCTCATGCACCCGCCCCCTCTACTACCTCTCCAGCAGCGGCAGCAGCAGCAGCTCCAGCAGCAGCCACCGCAGCGGCACCAGCAGCGGCAAGTGCAGCGGCACCAGCAGCGGCAAGTGCAACGGCACCAGCAGCGGCGAGTGCAGCGGCAGCGGCGGCCTCGGCAGCGGCATCAGCAGCGGCGGCACCAGCAGCGGCATCAGCAGCGGCATCAACAGTGGCACCAGCAGCGGCACCTGCTGTCATCCGCGCCTTCCACACCTCCCTCTCTGAGGACTCCCATGAGGAGTTCCTTGACCTCCACCTCTCTGACCCCTCCCTCCTTCCCATCACCTCTGACCTCTCTGGAACACCAGTCTTCGCCTTTTCCTCCGCACCCTCCACCTTCATCCCAACCACGTATGAGGAGGCCATGGCTTGTCCCGACGCTCCGCTCTGGCTCGCCGCCATCATCAAGGAGCTTGAGGCGTTTATTGCCAACTCCTCCTTCGTTGATGTGCCTCGCCCTCCCCCCTCTACGAACGTGGTCAAGGGGAAGTGGGTGTTTCGCGTCAAGCAGCTGCCCGGAGAACCGCGCGTCTACAAGGCCCGGTATTGCGCCAAGGGCTTCACGCAGCGGTATGGCTTTGACTTCTTCGACACCTTCTCCCCCACCGCCAAACCTGCTACCGTTCGCGCCGTCCTCGACCTCGCCGCTCGCCTCAACATGGAGATCCACTCGATGGATGTCTCCAACGCCTTCCTGCAAGGCGTACTACGTGAACTGATCTACATGGAGCGCCCAGCGGGCTTCCACCTCCCCTTCCCCGCTGACTCTGTCTGGCAGCTGCGCCGCCCAGTGTATGGGCTCCGCCAGGCTCCCACGGAATGGCATGCCAGTCTTGCTGCCACCCTTGTCGAGCTTGGGTTTCGCACCTCCCGCTCCGATGCCAGCCTCTTCCTCCGCACCTCCCCCTCCCCCTTCTACATCCTCGTCTATGTTGACGATATGATTCTTCTCACTGCCGATCCTGCCGAGCTCGAGACTGTCAAGACGGAGCTGAGCAGCCGTCTCAAGTGCAAAGACCTGGGAGAGCTGCAGCACTACCTCGGCATGACCATCACTCGCGACCGCTCCGCCCGCACCATCTCTCTCTCTCAGGGCCACTACCTCCAGCAGGTCTTAGAACGGTTTGCAATGGCGCGCGGTAACCCCCAGCCCACTCCCCTTTCGGTCGGGCACCACCTCTCCCCACCCTCCTCTACCTCTCCCTCCTTCCATCCTTATCCTGAACTCATCGGCTCTCTCATGTACGCCATGGTCTCTACTCGCCCTGACCTTGCCTACCCCATCAGCGTCCTCGCTCGCTTCGTTGGCGCTGGCAAGCATACGGAGGAGCACTGGCAGGCCGCCAAGCGCGTTCTTCGCTACATTCGTGGCACCAAGGACTATGTCCTTACCCTTGGCGGCCCTTCCCCACCCCTCCTCAACGGCTACAGCAACTCTTCCTGGGCTGACTCTCGACCGGATCGGCGGTCCTCTCAGGGTTATGGCTTCTCTCTGGGCAGCGGCCTCATCAGCTGGCGGTCCACACGCTCCTCTGCCGTCGCCCTCTCCTCCTGCGAGGCAGAGCTCTACGCTGCAACCATGGCCGCGCAGGAGGCGCGCTGGCTCACCTTCCTCCTTGATGAGCTTGGAGCCCCCCAACGCTGTCCCACCATCTGGTGTGACAACGCTAGCACCATCCACCTCACCAAGGATGCTGTGTATCATGGGCGCTCCAAACACATTGAGCTCCGCTACTTTTTCATTCGTGAACTCGTTGAGGCCGGCCATCTTCGCCTTGGCAAAATCGACTCGGCGGCCAACCTCGCTGACATCTTCACCAAAGCCCTTCCCCAGGCGTCCCACTCCTTCCTTCTGCGCCTCCTTGGCCTCACCCCTCCTCCGGTTTTGGCGGCCTCCTGATTCCATTTTCTAGCCTTATGCCTGTTGGGGGGTTGTGTTGTAACTGTATCTTATATACAACATACATAGGCTACAATGGTGTAGCTCTTTATGTTCTTGGGGGGTTGGGTGTACACTCCAACCACATTTTGTGGTTGGTCAAGGTTGGGTTTGGTCTTGGTCCTTGGTTGGCACTTGCCAACTTTTTGGTCCTAAGGCCTACCAATCACAACCTAGCAACATTGTGGGGTTACCTACTCCACAAGGCATCTCCCCCATTGGCCAACTTAGTGGCCAATAGGGTTTGCTCCTTCTTCACCCCTCTCTTGCTTGCATGCTTGTACTATAGAGCCTCCATGGCTCATTATTCAACCACTCTTGAATTCTATCATTGCCTTGCCGTGCCGTGCCTTGCCTTGCCTTGCCTTGCCGTGCCTTGCCGTGCTTTGCCTTGCCTGCTGATGTCCCTTCTCGCAAGGTTTAAGGTTTAGGATCTGAGTATTTTTCTCCTCCACTCCCACCTCTCTGCCTCTGACAGGTCTGCGTCTCTGGGATGTGCACGTGGGCCTTCCTCGTCTGCCACATTCCGCAGGTAGAAGATCCATCCTCAATATAGAATATCTATGTATAGTATATGTGAGTGAAAGTACATATGTGTATATATGTATATGCTTATGATGCTTATGTATCGTAATTCTAAGCTTTGTTTCTGTGTACATGTGTTCAGCTGTTTCCACGAGTCAAATCAAATCAAACACACTTCTTTCAGACTTAACTGCTCATCTCTCTTTCTTCACTCCCTTCTCTCACCATCTCTCCCTCCCCTTCTACGCAGGGTCTAAACAGTACCTAGTGCAGGGCTCATACGAGTATTACCACTACATGCAAGACAGGATCGATGACAGCGTGAGTTTTACTTTATTACCCTTCACTGCTCTCAATTTATTTTCCTCGCGTGTTTCTCTAGTTGACTCAAAAGGCATGAGTTTGCTTCCCTTACCCTTCACTACTCTTTGCTCGATTTCCACTCTTGTCTTCACCCTTCACTCCTATTTTCCTCATCCTTTTCACCTTTTGGCCCTCCCTCCTTCCCTCCACCTCTCCTTGTCTCCCAACCTCCGCAATTTTTCATATCCACACCTCTCTGCCCCCACTCGTTTCAAATTTCAGTACTTCAACTCTGTCTTCAACTCTGTCTTCAACTCTGTCTTCAACTCTGTCTTCAACTCTGTCTTCAACTCTTTCCTCTCCCTTCACTTCACCCTTTCCCTCTCCATTCTTCTTTGCTTCACCTCTGTTTAATCCCTGGCTTTCTGTGTGCTGCCGTACAGGGGTGGGGCTGCGCCTATCGCTCTCTGCAGACCATCGTATCGTGGTTCCGCATTCAGCAATACACATCACTACCCGTGCCAACCCACAGGTAAACCAAGCGTTGAAACTGCTCAAAGCGCACTCAGCAGTACACTTCACTCGCCATGCTGAGCCACACCACAGCACAGGTGCACCGCACGCACACAGCCTGCCAGCTCACAGAAGAATCATGTTTTTAGATGCCTCAATCAAACGTGTAGAGAGGGTGTTTTTGAGACGTCTCAATCGAAAACACCCTCTCTACACGCAGAAGCATCATGTTTTTAGATGCCTCAGTCAAACTGCATTCAGCAATTCACCTCAATCGCTGTGCCTGCCTGCACGCACAAAGCCTTGATACGTCCATTGGCTCACAAAGCATCTCAACTCTCGACCAATGAATTCAAGGAGCCACGAAAGTGTTATTTCTCCTGTTGAGAGTTCCTCAAGTTCTTGGCACTTTAAGCAGGGGACAACACACAGAGAGTATCACTGTCTTCCTTTGCTAAAAGTATCTTTCTAACTGCCGCTCACATAAGTCTTCAGGGCCAACCATCAGAGCGTGTTTTTTGAGAATTCTCAAAAAACACGGTCTTCAGGGCCAACCATCTCAAATTCCTACCAGTGGATTCAAGGAGCCATGGAAGTATTATTCCCCTCTTCCCTTCCCTTTCCACTCTCTTCCTCTTCTCCCCTTTCTCTCACCCGTCCCATGCCCCCCAGGCGCATTCAGCAGGCGCTGGTGGAGATAGGCGACAAGGACGCGGCGTTTGTGGGGTCCAGCCAGTGGATCGGTGAGATCGAGCTCAGCTTCATCCTGGATCACCCCTTGCGCCTCTTCCCCCATTTTCACCCGCCGTCTCGCGCCTGTTCCCCTTCCCCCCACGCCCCCAGGTGCATTCAAGAGGCGCTGGTGGAAATAGGGGACAAGGACGCGGCGTTTGTGGGGTCGAGCCAGTGGATCGGCGCCATCGAGCTCAGCTTCATTCTCGACCACCTGCTGGGGGTGAGATTGGGGGTGTTGGGTTGTGTTAATGAGCTGCTGGGGGCTGGGTTGTGGGAGTGAGCTGCTGGGGGTTGGGTTGTGGGGGTGAGCTGCTGGGGGAGAGGGACAATAGTGGGAAGTGGGAGAGAGCAGGGCAGTGGATCGGCGCCACTGAGCTCAGCTTCATTCTTGACCACCTGCTGGGGGTGAGTCGGGGAGAGGGGGGAGGGGGGGAGGGGGGGGGGAGAGGGCAGAACGTGAGGGGAGGGCAATGCGGGTTGGTGGGAAGTGGGTGAGTTTAGCGCAGAAGATCGGTGTGATAGAGCTGAGCTTCATCCTGGATCACCTGCTCAAGGTGAGTCGGGGTTGGGGGGGACGGGTAGGAGCCAATTGGTGGGATGCCGGTGGGAAGTGGGTGAGCGGATGGCATAGGATCGGTGTGAGAGCTGAGCTTCATCCTGGATCACCTGCTGGGGGTGAGTGGGGGGGTAGAGGGGAGGAGCAGGTCGGAGGAGGGGGAGAGAGGGGGAACAATGGTGGGAAGTGGGTGAGTAGACATGTACTCTTTGGGCCAGCAACTAACCTACCACTCACCACTGAAGTCATACCCCATTCAATGTGAGTAACTTTTTTTGAGATGTCTCAAGAAGTTACTCATATCACGTGACTAGCCTACCACTCACCACCGAAGTCATACCCCATTCTTGCACCCCTCTTTCCTCATCCCCCCTCTCCTCCCCTACCGGCCCCCACCAGGTCACATGTAAAGTCCTCACAGTCTCATCCGGAGCAGATATGCCCTCTAATGGCCGGCAACTAGCCCACCATTTTTCCACGCAAGGCACCCCGGTAATGATAGGAGGCGGGGTTCTCGCATACACTCTATTAGGTGTAGACTATGACGAGGCGACGGGGGAGTGCGCATTTCTGATTCTCGACCCGCATTATACCGGCGGGGAGGATTTGAAGGCGATAAGGAGTGGTGGATGGGTTGCTTGGCAAAAGGCCAAGACGGACGGTGGGGCCGATTTTTTCGTCCGCGATGCTTTTTACAATCTGTTGCTACCACAGCGGCCGGCTACAGTATGAGCTACACTGGATTCTCTCTATAATGGCTTCTTTATAGTACAGAGGTATAACATTCGTTTTAAGAGCCTTTAGAAGAGCAACGGCTTCTTTAAATGCAATGCACTGTAGGTGCTTATGATGGAAGCATTTGGAAATCTGTGAATTCATGCATACACATGACTGCATTGAGAACCCGCGGGCCAAGAACTTCAACCTTAGGAAGCTTGGTTGGAGCGAGCAACACAATTGGCCAAGGTTTTGGGTGCGAGGGCCAAACTCAACCTATTATATACACACGGGTGACGTCATCACATGCCGCCCCGCCCGCCCTGGCACAAAGGGAATTGAGGCAAAACGAAAAACCCTCCGAATCCCTCCGGGCCCCCGGAAATTCCCGGCTGACCAGGCCAAAAAACCCTCCGAAACCCGCGGGTTCAATGTCGTATTCTTATGCCAATATATATGTCAGCCGCACTGTTGCAATTTCGGGGACATTTGTCGAACAGTGCTCGACGGACATTGGCCAATCGCCGTCGAGCACCGTACACCCCCGACAACACTGGTTACACCCGGTGGCAAGTCGCCAGGGCATCGCCTACACGGTGGCGCTAACGGTCGACGGTTGCGAAACCTGTTTCGCAACCGGCCGACGGTCGCAATTGACGGAGACGTCAACTGCGGCCGACATGTCGCCTCGTCGGTCGAGACAGACACCACGGCCGATCACTCCTTGTTCATGCTTGGCGAGGGGGAGCAGAGAAGCTTCATGGTGGTTTATGTGGATGACATTCTCATATTTTCAACCTATTCTGACCTTGTGAAGGAGGTGATGCTGAAGCTGCATGACAAGTTCAAGTGCAAGTCCCTTGGTGACGTAAACTTCTACCTTGGGCTCCACATCGAACGAGACGTGGAGAAGCAGAGCATGCGAGTGCACCAACGGAAGTACCTGGAGGCGTTGGCTGCCAACTTCGGCCAGAGTGAAGGTCATGTGGCTACTCCCTTTCCCTCTGGGTTCAAGTGTGTGAAGGGGCCAGAGGAGGAGAGCGTTGGAGAAGAGGAGAGGCGCCGATTTCACTCGTTGGTGGGCAGCCTCATGCATACGGCGGTAAACACCTGACCGGACGTCGCGTTTGCTACCGGGCAGCTGGCTAGGGTTGTGCAATGCCCTAATGAGGAGCAGGTAGCAGCTCGAATGAGGGTGGCCAAGTATCTTGGCCAAACACCGACCGTTGGGCTGCAATACTCGGCGGCAGCACAAAGGCGCCAAAAGGGCGCGGATGGTGTTGAACCCGGGCGTTTGTACCTCACCGCCTACTCGGATGCTTCATATGCATCAGAACCAGAGGACATGACAAGTGTGGGAGGCTTCATATGCTGTGTTGGTGGAGGCCCAACTGCTTGGGAGAGTAAGAAGCAAGTTGACCAAGCTTTGAGCTCGGTGGAGTCCGAGTACATGGCACTCTTCCGTGCCGTACGGGAGATTGTGTGGCAGCGGCGTTTGTTGGCTGAATTGGGGGAGGAGCAGCAAGGACCTACCCCACTGTATTGTGACAGCCAGGGTGCAATTGCTCTTGCTAAGAACCCTGTGTTGCATGGACTCACGAAGCACATGAGGGTGAAGTGGCATTGGACGAGGAGCATGGTGGCCGCGGGTGAAGTTGAGTTGCGCTACGTGAAGACCACGGGGCAGCCGGCTGATATGATGACCAAGAGGCTGGTGGAGCAGCAGCATTGAAAGTGTTGCAAGCTGTCTGGGATGGCTCTGAACTGAGAGAGCAACATATCCTAAGGCCAACAATCCGAGGGGGAGTTTGTTGGTGCAACCCTATGGTTTGCACTCGGCTTGTTGTCCGTGTGCGTGAATGTGTGTGTGCATGGAATGGTATGAGGGCATGGGATAATATATATTTCATGCTTATAATTGTGTGTGAATGTTGAGTCATGATGTCGAGTGTGTGTGTTGAGTCAATAGTGAGTTATCGCTAGACGCGTGTTACGCGGTCGTTTGTGTCTCGCGCGCGGTTTCTATTTTGTCGTGCGCGGTTTCTATTTTGTCCTGTGTCGAACGTTCGGTGTGTCGAAGGTGTCTGCAGCAGACCCATCAAGAACTCAAGGATGAGTTTGTGATGAAGAGCCCGAGCCTTGGTGTCAAGCCTCAAGTGATTTCGAAGCTCGTCAAAAGGGTACACCTCAAGATATTGAAGATAGTTACATTACTTTGTGTAGTGTAACATTTCACTTGGTGTAGACCCTAGTGAAGGGTACTTTCGAGACCCTTCGTGGTTGGGGACAGTGTGGCACTGTTCCACATCACTGTACCTCGGCTCTTGGGGTTTGTAGGAGCTGGGAGTCATTCCCAACTCGTAACTCTTCCTAACTCTTCCTATCTTGTGTTCTAAGACTATAGTGGCTGCCATAGTGCCGTTCGTTCAAACCAACGCTGTGTCGTCAATGCTTGATCAAATCGTGCGATCTAAATTGCCTATTGTAGGGGACAATACGACGCTCCAGATCCAAGTTGAATCAAGTCATTTGAAGCTGTGACCAGAACGCTATGAACGTTTGAAGCCGCTATGCTGAAATCCGACTGTGCACTCTATCTTTCGTTCTAGGCACATTGGAGCCTACTGTGACTATAACAGCACCCTCCATTCGGGTGCTCCCCCTGCCACCAGAGCTCTCATGCCCCTCGTTGTAGTCACCTCGGCCTCTTCCTCTGCCAAAGCCTCTCCCACGGCCTCGGCCTCTCCCCTCTCTTGGAAGGTCCCAAGAGAGAGTCCCCAACCAAGGAAACCCCATGCCACACAATTCCCTTCCCCATAGGCAACAAACTTTGACCTTTGTCACTTTCCAACCCATGCCATCCACCTCACCACAACTTGGCCACACTTACCAACCTGGTTTGGCTTCACCCAACCTCTTGGCAGCATCTACAGTGATGGGTTCGAATTTCTCAACCCCCACAAGTCTGTACCCCATATTGAGTCAATGCCACAACTTCCCAAAGTAGCTGCAACCAAAATATATAAGCATACGAAGTCCAATGTTCGTAACTTTCTTGGTTGTGCTCCGATCGCGACGATTCTTGGTTCGTCGGAAAGCTCTTGAGTAGAGGAATCACTTCAGATATCTGCTCAAGCCAAATAACATACACTCACTCTGAAAAACCAAACCACATCAAACACAAATTCTTGCACACGCTCACACCACGCATGCAACGCACAAACACATGATGGGAGGCAGACAGATGTGAATGCATATGGTTGCATCACACAACACCGTCCTGGAGCGCACTACCCGCCACCAAGTTCGTAGAGAACGAGGGGAGGTAGAGACCTGACAGTGTGCCCGACGGGACCGCAGGACAGGGGAGGACAATGGAGGAGGTCGCAAGGACCGGACCCCCAGAGGGGTCAGCGAGGGAGACTGCAACTGGTCGAGCAAGCTGCTCGAGGGCCGTGCGGTCACGAAAGAAACAGCGGGAAGCACCTGAGTCCAGTGTGAAGGTGTGCAGTGCCTTAGTCGGCTCAGTACCAGGGGGCGCAGACTCACTAGCAGCTAGAGCGGTAGCCTCACCAGCACCTGGGGTAGCAGACACTCTAGCACCTAGAGCGGCAGCCTCACTGGTCCGAATGCCCGGATCGGGCGGAACACGCAGGTATTGAGCACCCTCTCCACTAATAGACATCACATACATGGCATTGAGAATAGCATCAAAATCTAGTGCAAAGATATCAATGTTTTTCTTCATCAGATCAGCCCAGCGGGGCAGCTCAGTGGCCTCAGGAAACTGAGTGCGCCAAGCGTCATCAAGGCGAGAGAAGCAGCGCTGCGTGGGGTGAGCCCTCCCACACGTCTGACCAGTGCGGTCACCAGTGTGGATAATGTACGTGCAGCTAAGGCCATCCCCCCCCCCCCCCCCCCCCCCCCCCCCCCCCTCCGTGGTGAGAGTACCACTCACGGAGCTCCTGGGGCGACGGAGTGTGCTGCTGGCTCTGGCCACTGCCAGC